CTGGAAAATAGAATAGAATGCAACGGGCATTAGTTGCAGTGCTTGATACATAGTTGGTACTCATTAAATTTTGTGGAGTTAATTAATAATTGGGAGTGAGATTCTCAGAAGGTCATAATGCTTTCCAAGGAACTAAGAACATAAAGGAAAAAGAATTATTTAATTCTCACCATCTGCTGCTGCCGGCTACAGCACATAAAGGGCTGGGGAAAGCCATGAGGCCAGAGACCAGACCTTGACCATGTTCCAGGTCACCCAGCAAATTAGTAATAAGACTAGGATCAAAATGTGGGCTCCTGGAAGCCTCATGTAATCTTCCCCATACGTTGGGTACATGAACACATATACACAGGGTGGCCCAGGAGGCTGTTTAGTCTGCAGAGAGCCAAACTCATGGCATGGATAGAGAAAAGAGGAAAGAAAAGCAGCAAGGTCCTTTGCATTGATCTTTGTCAGTTCATGCCACGTTGGCTGGAGCATCCCCATGGTCAGGTGGCTTTCGTGAGTTGAATGAGTGAAGAGACCACCCCTGACTCACTGCACGCCTGTGCCCCCAAGGCGCTCCACGCACTCCACACAGAGCAGGCTGGCTGGGCAGCACCCTGAAGTGCGAAGCTGAAGAACTGGGGATACTGAGCAGGATGGAGCAGTGGCTGATCAGAACGCTTCTCTGCCAGTGGAAGGAGTACCTTCATAAAGTCACTTTACCCTCACCTGACCTCGCTTTGCCTTATCCAAGAGCAGGGTGAAGTCACCAGCACAGTGTTAAACTACCTTCTCCATCCAAGCCATGAGTCTTGATTTCAGCAAGCAAGAGGCTGTGCGGGGGAAGCTGGGAGGCAGCACAAAGACACAGGCAGCAGGCCGCAGGCCCTCGCTCTCCTTACAGAGCACAGCCAGCTGTTTCAGTCAGGCCCACACTGTGCTTCCCTGCCTGGTACTGGGATTGAATCCAAGACCTCTGCAATAAATTACATCCCTGGACTGTTTTTAGTTTTTAATCTGAGACAGCCTCTGGGTAGTCACTAAGCTGTCCAGGGTGGGCTGAAATTTTGGATCCTCCTGTCTCAGCCTCCCAGAGTCTGAGATTACAGGCCTGTACCACCTTGCCTGGCTCTACAGAATCACTCTTTAAAGAGCACCACACTATCAGCTTTCCTGGGGTGGCTTGGACTAGTGCCACCCTCACAAGGACAGAGCCTTGTGTCCACCAACAGCAGGTGCTTGGGTTCAGTCCAGTGCCAGGCAGAGGATGCATGTGTTCTGTCTTGAGGTCCTTCCTTCCTTCCTTCCTTCCTTCCTTTCTTTCTTTCTTTCTTTCTTTCTTTCTTTCTTTCTTTCTTTCTTTCTTTCTTTCTTGTATTCTAGGGAAGGGTCTATGAGGTGTTCAAGGTCTCACTACTAGATAATAGTAGAGGTCCTTTCTGACAAGATTCGAGGCCATCAAAAATGTCTGATGAGTCTTATAAAATATATCAAATAAAAGAAAAATATAAAGTCTGGCAAAATTTTGGTTATAATGTTTGCTGAGAGCCCAATTAGCTCTTTGTAGTTCTCAGACAAAATGAACTGCTTTGTCCCAGAGAAAGTCGCTGAGATTTGAAATCAGATAAACTCTGGAACTGCCAAAATGGACCCTGTGAAACTACAGTTTCAACTCCTCCTAGGTTTGCATTCCCCATCTGTATATTAGAGGGTGACAAACTTAATAGTTAATTAAACAAGAGTGTTTAAAAATATGTTGTCATTGTATCTGCCACTGCAATACTCAACACATATTAAATTAACTAATAATTATGGAATTAAATGATGAATTAATAAATATTAGTGAATTTTAACAATATGTAAAAATTCATAAGAAATTATGTAAGCGATAAGACAAAAAATTATAAGGGGCAGCTACTTGGCCTCCAAAGTAGTACAGATGGGCAAAATTTAATCAATAACTCAATTAAAAATTTTCACAGAAAATTGTTTTCCAAGAAAAAAAGAGTTAACAAAAATGCATTCAAGAAGTCTTAACACAAGGGGATGGGGAGATGGCTCAGTAGAATAAGCGCTTCCCTGGTAAGCGCAAGGCCCTGAGTTCAAGCCCAGGCTCTGTCAAAAAAAAAAAAAAAAAAAAAAAAAAAAAAAAAAAAAAAAAAAAAAAAAAAAAAGAATTCTTAACATAGTCAAGACATTATCCTGGCATTGAAACAAGTCATGGAAGAAACCATTTTGAAATTATAAATTGAAATTTCACAAAATCCCACTGCATCTTTCCATTGAGGAGAAACACTAGCTTCTAATCAATGATTTAACTTTTCATGGTTCCAACAGGCATTTCCTAAGAAAATATCGTTTCTTTAAAAACACACAAAGATGTGCTTGTATAATGCCAACTCCTGTCTACATGTACAGACGTGCACAGATGCGATGTCATAAGGCATCGATACATTCAATGTTTTATGAAAAGTTTTTAAATGCCACGACATATTATGTGTGGTGGTAATTCCCTTTAGACAGTTTAAAACTACACAGATGCAAAGGAACAGTAGGGAAATAATCAGACACATCCAGTGGACTGACACATCTGTCCTGGACAAAAGAGGAGAGGCAGCAAGAGGAAGCACATATCTTTATCTTTCAGACCAGCATTGTTCTCTGATTGGCTCCACAGGGCATTTGTTTTAGTAACTGTTCAAAAATAGACCATAAGGTAGAGTGGAAGGAACACTGGGAAAGTGCTCGGAAAATCAGCCTCGTGAGGCTGAATAAGGGAGCCAAGTCATTGTTCTATCTTCTCAGTTTCCACATCTGTACAATGGCTATAAACATTCCAGTCACGCTTATTTCATGAAAATGATCTGATCAACCTCCTCGAGTTACACAGAAGAAAGCTGAGTAGTGAAGTGAGTCCCTTAAGGTCACATAGCTAATCAGTGACAGAATCAGGACTAGAAATGAGCCCTTTGAAGAGTTGGCCTTTCTGCTGTAACAAAGCTGCCATTGAAGCAAGATAGGGAAGTGCTTTGAAAAACGTAATATAAGCATTTTGTTCAGTAGACGTATTATGGGGCATATCTACTAAATCACAATCAGGGTCATCTTGTGGCAATTAATTAAGAAATGCCTCTGAGACTGTACCTGTTTCCTCAGCCATAGTCATCTTTCTCTTAAAATCAAATGCATTAAGTTTCATTTCTCAACAAAGGTACAAGAAGTAAACAATTAACTGAATTAATTCAGACACTGAAGTAGATTTTCAAGGACTTGACTTGCCCGAGCTAGTTTTCTGCAAAGCCTAAATTAATCAGATAATTGCTAATTCTCTCCTTTGTTTTGTACTCCTTAGAGAGTCTATTTGTTAAAATGAACCTAGTGGGGGAATGAACAGTCATTTTAAAAACACTGAATCTGTATTATATGAATAAGTTCCAAAGTATGCTGTTTTTTTAGGCATCATTTCTGGATGTTACTTTAAAAAGCTAATTTTTCTTCTCTGAATGTGAACATTACTGCTGCTTTTTTGGATTGAAGGAAGACCTTTTAGATAAAATTTTAAAAATTGGTATATTATGAACACAATTTATTGCATTATTCTAAGAAAAAAGTTAAATGCTTTCCTGACATGACTAAAAACAATATTTAAATCTTTTAGATTAAATTTTTACTGACACTTGAAAAATGTCTCAGGCTAGCATGGTTCTAATTAGTCTTCACTTAGCAACTATCAAAGCTTTAAAATAAAGCTTTAACACTGTGCAAACAATGCTCATTACTCTCCTAATATCAGGAAGAAAGTTTAGAATGTAATTTAATTAATTGGTTTTGAAAAAATTAATTACATATGGAATGAGTCTCATTAGATGTTTCTGTTTCATCAGAATTTCAGAGTCAGAAACAACTGCTTTTATCATTTATCATTTCTCCATGGCTCAGCTAGCATAAAACAAGACAAATTGTGACAATAATTAAACATTTTGCTTAAATAGACTTAGGACTAAGACATTAAATTAATGTGGGCACAGAGTCCATTTTTTCCACTGTATTGCATTCTTGCCCTTCAATGTAAAGTTTTTTTTACTGTGGGGTGTGCGTGTGTGTGTGTGTGTGTGTGTGTGTGTGTGTGTGTTTGTGGACTATCACTGAACTGACAAAGAAATAACAGTTAACTTTCAAATTCAGTGCAGCCATATAATTTAGTTTTAAGGGCATTAGCTAAAGTGAAAATGTGAGTAATTTACTTTCTGTAGCATAATAGCTGTTGATTACTCAGATAGTTTTCATAAACAGTTGGCAAATTGTAACTTCCAACAGCTGTCACTATAAATTGAAAGTAAATGTTAATTTGGGAATAGTAACCACGTGAACTTTCATCAGCCTTGTAACCAAGGCTGGTGCTGCTTCCAAAAGTCACAGAAAATCGCTTGAGTAGTTTTTAGGCAAATCTGCAACTTTGCTCTGTTTTTGAATCCTTCAGTTTTACACATGAAAGACGGTAATCATTCTCAAATGGCCTTTCAGAGATTCCTCTGCCTTTACAAAGTGCATAAGGAAATGTACTTGATAGATTTACATCTTGGAGGTGAGAGAATTACCAGAGATGCATTTCGTTTTTTTTTTTTTTTTTTTTTAATGTGAGAAAACAAGGAAAGCATTTTCAACCAGCGAAGTTCCAGGGCTGTACACTAACTAAAGCGACCTGTGCACCCCTGGAGCAGCTGAGGCGCTCAGATCTGAGGTGGAACGCTGTTTGCATGCTAAAGTGTGCGCCGCGCTGTTTTGTCCTGTTTGAGCAACTTAGTTCCAAGTAAAACTTGCACGACAGATCACAAACCCTTTAGTACAAACTGCTAAAAAATGGAATCAAGTATCAGGTTTACTCTAACGCATACACGCGGCACAATGCAGTATTCAGCCACAGAAATGTCTGCTGTCCAGAGGTGAAACCCTTTTTCTTTTCAGGACACAGGAAAACCACAGTGAAAGCTACAACAAAACATAAAATGCAGTACCTGCAACTGCCCGCTCTTCCCAGAACGCACCCTTGGGCAGCGTAGTCTGCTTGGCAGCCGTTCCATGCCAAATGCTTCCACCTCCCCAAAAATGTGTGTCAGCACAAGCCCAGACGAAACTGCAAATCCAGGAAAATGAAATTAACCATGCAGATCAAAGGCAGAGGAGCAGGGAGATGAAATGCCTGTAATCTGATCAGTGATCGGCTGCTGAACATCAAAGGCAGGGCTGAGCTTATATATATGCAAGGATATCCAGAAAGTTCACATTCAGCAGGTAGGCAGCTGCCCTCCCGCCTCCCGGGGCACGCATTCTTTTGTGAAATGTGGATCACGTTGTTGTGCTCTGAGTCTTTGCATCCTAGCGCTGCCGGTGGTTTCTCCAGGCCGGGGCTGGGTGGCCGGATCCGCAGCTCTGGCGGTTCCCAAGCTGTGCTGTGGATTGTGCTGGAAGCTTTTCCTAGTGCCAGCGGGCTCTGCTTTATCCCTTTCATCTCGCTGAACTGCAGATCCCATGACATCATTCAGCGCCGTGGGACTTAGGAGAGCTATAATTCAGCTCCAGAGAAACCAGAGTTCGCCGGGATTTCTAATCACGTTAGTCTATTGTGCTTCACACAGGACAGTTTCTGTTATCTGTCCCCAGCAGGAAGGGACAGCGCTGCTGTTGACGCTCTTTAGATGATAAGATCCCTGGCCAAATAACAGCCTTTAATTGCCTTTTGGTTGATACAAATCAGAATTTCCTACAAAGAGCAGATATCAAATATTCTCCATAGCTAAAGAGCAATATCGAATTTTTAGAACATTGCCTCAAATCATCTTGATCACATTGTTAGAGGGACAACATAATGTTTTAAATTCTTGTTTATGTTTTTAATGGAACAAATCTTTAATGATTTTAAGCAAACTTTTCCTTGAAATGTGCCGGGAGATGGCTCAGTAGAATAAGCGCTTCCCTGACAAGCGCAAGGGCCTGAGTTCAATCCCTGGTTCCGCAAAAAAACAAAAAAAACAAAACAAAAACAAAAACAAAAACAAAAACAAAAAAACTATTACCATTTTAATGGCAACAAATAGCGGTGTTTTCATTAAATTAGTTAAGGGGAAGACAGCTATCCATCACCTTCTCCCTTAACACCTGGGCATAGGCCTAATCCACATCTTGATCTGAACTGGGGATTCTGAAAATAGAATCTTAAGATGTCTAGTTGGCATAATTTGCAAACACTTCTTGAGTATTTTAAAATTCACAAACGAATAGACAAATTCTCCATATTTTAAAATGAAATCTATGGAACATTACTTAGAATTTTTTTTTTTTTTACTATTTTCTTGAACAATACCAGATTCAAAAGAGTAAAATTACTTAATTTTCAGTATTTATATATAAAAGAGATGAATAAGTTTCATTTTCACTGAAATCCAGAATACAATGAATTTCTGAATCACAGACAGATGTTTCATAGAATATAAGGAAAAATTTCTGTTTTACAATGGAAGCTTATCAACTCTTAAATGGTCAATGAAAAATATTTTTGCAAAACTTAGAGAGCAGTAGAATTTAATTCTTCTATTTATAAGTTCTTTTTCTACTTGTCTTCATTTAATTTTTTTGATGTAATATTTGAAAATGTACTTTATGATGGATTTATTTTCAGTCTTCTATGATTCTTGAACAAATTTTAATAGCAAAATACTTGGTTTGAGCAGTGTATGAGTTCAATATAACATTTGAATAGTCCTGCTCATTTTTTAATGTTTTCTTTGGTGAGGGTAATGCCAAAGATTGAGTATACTAGGCAAGTGCTCTACCACTCAGCTATGCCCCATGTCCTAGTGTTTCTCTTATAATTTTTATCCTTGGTATATCATTTCTCAAAGCTAAGAAATTTCATGGATCGGAGATGGTATTTGAACTCACATTTGTAATGTTTCTGGCTTTCTTGAAGCAGACCAGGAAAATTCTTGTGACCCCTGGACTCTACACAATTTTGAGCTCCCTGAACTCATGAATACAAAGGAAATGTTTATAAGAATAAAATATTACCAAGAGAGTATGTGTTCATTTCTTTTTGAGGTAGCCCAGCCTTTCCATTTATATAGAATCCACATTCCATCAGCCTACACTCAGAAAGTTTCTTGATAGGTAGTGATTCACCAAGTGATAACAACTCCATGAAGTTCTTGGAGTAAGCAAGAGGGCTCTACATCTTTCCAGAGTTTAACACCAATAGAAATGGGTGAGGACCTGGATTAGGATTCTCATAGTTTTCCTGGAAGTTTACAGGAGACATTTGGAAGCAAGGACACATGTGCACACACTGGGCAGATTATTAATTTACATACCTCTCACAAAGAAAGATTGATTGTTGAAGATGCACTGTCACCACCACTGGAAGAAGTTATTCACCAAGTCTCTGAAAATTATTTTAATTGGTCCTTTTGTGGCCAAGAACTGCCCCCATGTGAGATGAGAGGGGACAGAGGGCAGGCTCCCTCTCTCCCCAGATACAGAGTGTGGCTAAAGGCTGGACTTCAGTGAAGAGCACCCCGAACTGTAGTCATCAGCACTGTGCTCAACTCCTTCATTGTGAGATGTTGCCTGGGCCATTGTTTCTGCGCGACACTTTGAAGGAGGCTACTCCAAAGCTTTTCTTTTCCTGTCTAAGTAGCCTCTACTATACATGATACTCTGCAGATAAGAAATATGCCACTATGGTCCACTTATAATCATGTGCCACTTAACAAAATTTTTTTCTAAGAAACACAACATTTACTACACACTTAGGTATCTGAGATAGATAGGAGGCATGATGAGCAAAACAATTTACAGTTAGATCAAGCACAGAAGGAAAGGAGGCAATCAGGAGGCAAGGCAAACACCATGGCTAACTAATATCTCTTCCTAATTTTATCTTTTCTAAGCTTTGTGTTTAGAAAGTTCTGTTTCTGTTTAGAAACATCCAAGATTATACCATATAAGCAGATTCATTGCATACATTGAAAGGAACTGGACTGAGCTACTGCTCAGATAACACACACACACACACACACACACACACACACACACACACACAGAGAGAGATTCTGTTTTTAGCATAGTTTTAGATACAACAATTGAGTGGTTAGACCTGAGATTTCCTGCATGTCCTCTGTGCCCTACAAATTTCTCCTCTTATTAGCAACTTGTCTTTCTAGGATCTATTGGTAACAATTAATTCACCTTCCTAGTGTTTTCAAGGAAAGCCCATAGATTACATTAAAATTCCCTGGGTATACAGTTCCATGGAATTAGGAAAATGTGTAGCGTCATGCACCCTCCATTACAGTGTCATACAAAGGAATTTCTTTGTTCAAAGTATCCCCTGTGCTTTAGAGACTTGTTCCATGTCCCTGCCCAGAGCCCCTCACACTGATCCTTCTGCCATCTCCATAGCTTTATTTTCTCCAGGATGTGCAGAGTTTGAAGTATAAAATGTGCAGCTTTTTCCTGTGGCTTCTTTCCTTATTCTTTGAAGGTTCTTTCATGGCTTTTTGTGGTTTGACAGATAATTTCTTCTCATTATCCAATAATGTCCCATTTTCCAGATTATCACAGTTTCTTTATCCCTCTACCAATAGTAGGACATTGTGTTTGCATCCAGTTTTTGTTATCATGAGGGATTTTGGTGGACATAAGTTTTTAACTCAAAGGCAATAATAACCTAGGATTGCTGGATTGTATGGCAAACCTCTGACCAACTTTATAAGTGACTGCCATACTGTCTCCCAAAATAACTGAGCCGCTGGGTGTGCCAGCACACACCCATGACTTAAACATGTGGAGGTTAAAGGAGGAGGAGGCCAGCAAGCTCCAGGTCAGCCTGGATTATAGAGGGAAACACTGTCTCCAAAAATCCCCCCCAAGTGACAATTCAATGAGACAAATATATAATTTCCCATTCATACCTGCAATGAATGAGACTTCCTTTTATTCTACATTCTTGTCACCTTGTAAGATTGTCAGTTTTATTAAATTTTAGCCTCCATAGTAGTTAACAGCATCTGCTTTTTTTAACTGCAGTGCCTTAATGTCATATGTCCTGAGCATCTTTCCATATACCGATTGTTGTCTGTGTTGACATCTTCTTTGAAGCAGTGCCTCCTCAGATAACTTTGTGAATTTGATAGCTGGATAGTATGCCGTTTTACTGTTGAATTTTGAGAGTTCTTTGTATATTTTGGGTACATGTGCTGCATACCACATGCATGTTTTAAAAATATAGTAGTATCCAACATCCAAAGCTTTGTTTTTTGCAACTTCAGTTACCTGTGTCAACTGCAGGCTGAAATATGAAATGGAAAATTACAAAACTAAACAATTTGTAAATTTCAGTTTCATGCCATTCTAAGTAGTACAGTGAAATCTTGGGTCATTCTGCTGTGTGCTTCTTGGGACATGGCTCATTCTTTTGTCCAGCATATTTCATTCTGCATATGATGCGTGTTTACTAGTCACTTAGTAGCTGTCTCAACTGTCACATAGATTGTCACACTCTCGCAGAGCTTGTGTTCAAGTAACACTTCCTTGTCATGGTAATGGCTCCAATGTGCAAGAGAAGTAGTGCTGGAAGTTGTAATATGACAAAGAGAAGCCATAAAGTGTCTCCTTTGAGTAAAAAGATAAAAAGTTATTGAATTACTAAGAAAAAGTTATAGGGTAAGGTTGCTAAGATCTATAGTATGATTTTTTTTTTTAATTTTAGGGAAGGGTCTACAGGATGTTCAGGGTCTCACTACTAGATCGTACTCGTAGTGGTCCTTCTGTTTACAGCCTCCCAAGAGCTGAGATTACAGGCACATGCCACCACACCCAGTCTCAATAGCCATCTCAGTGTGCCCTGGGGTCAGCGCCAGTATGGCAGGCCTGGGGATTGAACCTCTGGCCCCTGTACCTGCTTGCAGGCACTTTAATCTGCTGAGCTATTTGGCTGGCCCTAGTATGATATTTTTGAAACACATGAAACATTTACATAATTTTTATTATACTGTATAATTTTCTATTTTGTTATTAGTTATTATTAATATCATATTGTGCTTAATTTATAAATTCCACTGTATCATATATAAGGAGAAAACACAGATGTGTAGAGCTCAGTACTATTTAGGGTATCAGGCAACCCAAGGGATCTCAGAATGTATCCACTATGCTTCAGGGGTCTTAACTACTTCCTACTGTTTTGTGGCTTGTCTTTTTACTGTCTTCACAGAAAAGTTATAGATTTTAATAAGTCTACTTATCAATTTTTTATAGATTGTAGATTTGATGTTGTATATAAAAGTTATCATTAAAACCAAGATCATCAGGGTTTCTTCTATGTTTTTTTCTGAAAGTTTTATAGTTTCGCCTTTCGTTTTCAAATCTCTGAGCCAATCTTAGGTAATTGCTGAGAATGGAGTGAAGTCCTTGCCTAGATTTGCCTACTTTTTTTCCTTTCACATGCATGTGTCTAGCTGTTACAGCATTATGTATTGTAAAGACTAC